TCTGGCCAAGTCCCCTTTCTAGCCTTGAAATCTATCTGACGAATTCCCCTCCTGGCCTTGAAATCTATCTGACAAATTCCCCTCCCAGCCTTGAAATCTATCTGACAAATTCCACTCCTGGCCTTGAAATCTATCTGACTAAGTCCCCCTCCCAGCATTGAAATCTAACTAGCCAAGTCCCCTTTCTAGCCTTGAAATCTATCTGACAAATTACCCTCCCAGCCTTGATATCAATCTGACAAATTCCCCTCCCAGCCTTGAAATCTATCTGACAAATTCCCCTCCTGGCCATGAAATCTATCTGACAAAGTCCCCTCCCAGCCTTGAAATTTATCTGACCAAGTCCCCCTCCTAGCCTAACATCACCTAGCAAGTCTCACTCCCAACCAGTTCTCTCCCAATACTAATAGTAGCTTGCATGGAATGTTTTCCGCAACGGGCAATACAGTCTTGATTATATATTCATCTTAAATGCTGTATTTATATAAAACAAAAAAAACTTTCTATACAATTTTTGAGAGGAGTTATAGTGCTTTATAGATAAACATGATACAGTGTGTTAACGGAAATGTGACCTTAAACACGATGACTTTAATCCACTATCAGGTCAATACTTGGTCTATAGATACGTACAAGTTTGTTTACCTGTGCCCTGTGTCATTGTGTAGTGTTGACATTACTGGTACTCTGAATCTATATAGCTAACACATAACCAAAGAGGATTCTAAGGTCAATACCAATCCATTTGGAAATTCATTCAGGTTAACAAACACTAGATTCTGAAAGCAAACAGACCATAACAAATTCCATTTATAGGTCTGTATCCAATGGCTGGGCCGAGAAAAGTACTGTCACTTACAGTCTTATTATATCAAATGTATGCAGGTTAGGGTAGATTAGGTTGTCTGAAGTATAGGTCTGATTTAGAATAGAAGAGTTGATCAACTAAATTATGATTAACTCATTAAACTATATATGGCTTTGAAAGGCTAAGGTCAATTAAGAAAAATCTTGTGTTTCCACTAACCCTACCTACCCTAGTTTTTTGTGCCTACTGTTAAGTTGTTATTGGCAGTTATGCACTGTTAAAGTCAGAGTTCCTGCTCTAAATAAACATAGTAAAAAAAATCCAAAATGCCTATTTACATAACCTATTTTTTCTAAGGATGAAAACAGAAACACAATAGTTTTTCAATAATTTTTTTTAATATGTTACATTATAGTATACATAGATTAAATTGTATTACCTACATGTGCGATGCCTTAAAACTAATATTCTGAATCCAAAATGATTAGTGCAACTTAATTCTGCTTTGGCATATATTGGGGGCCTCCCCTAGCCAGCTCCCTTCCCATGAGGTAAGATTTCCTCTAGCCAGCCATCTCCCTGTCAGGCCTGGCGCCCTGCTAGTAATTATCATAAAAGTAAAAACAGATAATAGTTATTCTATAGTTGTATAAAAGGATTTTTACCAAGCATTTTCTGTTAATCATTGCAGATGTGTCGTCGAAGCATTGCTCCCATGAAACTTGTTAACAGAGTGAAGCACATGTCCAACCAACTGGAGGAGAAAGGTCGCATCCAACTGTATGAGTTCCTGGACCTGGTCTTGTGGTAGGTTTTACTGTTATGCCATTTAATTGATTGAAATCAATTACATTGACCTGGTTTTAAGGTCACAGAGATCAAAAGTTATCTGGGATGATGATATTTGGCCTAAAATGTGCGGAGATGAGGGCTATAAATTAGATTAAACTAAAAAGATTGACCTTGACCTACTTTCAAGGTCACAGGTGTTATATGCATTTGAGAATAGCGTCAATGACCCAATTACAGATGGGGTCAGCATATGCCCTGGCACTGTGTGACTTGGTTTGTGTTGTCCATCTATATAGCCCAACATCATTCCTAGACATTGAAGGAGGGGTTGAACTAAATACGAGATCTCAACTTTGTATAAAAGAAGGGTGTGGCCTTATGGATATAAGGTCAATGAACTCCATGTTGTATAACCATAGAGTATACCCTTAAATTAAGCATTTTCAACCAGTGAATTTGCTAAACTATTCCTATATTCTAAGATCTAATGATATCATCTGAAAGAACAACTCAACATATGTCATTTTAAAGGGTTATTTTGTCTCTAGGGGGTATATACACACATTTTATTGAGGTTTTAATTTTGAGGGTGTAGAATCTCCACCATGGAAATTTCAAAAAGCTGGCAAGTATGGGTGTGGGAAGTTAATGAACCTACGACCAATTGTCTAACCAACCTGTGCCTGGAGGATATATCTTAAAGGTTGATAAGATTTGGCCGAGATGCTTCTGGGACCATCACAGATTTTTTTGTAGATCTTCACTTCTGTGTCATGCTAAAACTTTTTAATTTCTACTGTATTGCAGGTGTGGCAGTTATGAAAACTTCTCCCCTGAAGATATTGCCTGCCCAGCTGGGAAAGAAAGAGATCTCTTCAAGGTACCCTTTGTAACATATTGTGACAACTGTACAGATTGTCAAACATCATACTTGCCAACTCTCCCTATTTTGGAGGGAGACTCCTGATTTTGGACCCAAAATTGAGCATTTTTAACTAGTGATTTTGCTACACTGTTCCTATTTTCTGATGTGTTCATCTGAAAGAATAGTTCAAAAGATGCCTTTTTAAAGTGCTATTTTTGACAAAGGGGGTATGTACACACATTTTATTTATGTTTTTAATTCTGAGCATGCGGAATCTCTCCTGTGGAAAATTTCAAAAATATGGCAAGTACAGTTGTGGGATCGCACAACGTTACACGATGTGCCCTTTTTGCGCACGATGTGTGCACGGTGTGTGAACGATGTGTGCACAATGTGCGAACGATGAAAAATTGGACGATCATTGCTGCGCACTCTGGACGAACGTTGTGCGATAACAATTGTGGTTGGTGTAAATTGAGGAACGCCTTAACAATATATACGGTTTCGTGTTTAAACATCGATTTTTAAGTATGTTTCTATATACTAGCTTATCTTTAAATTTTATGTCTATACTTTCCTGAATTTAGAAATGGTGTTTACGGTGATTTTTGAACGACCTTAATCGACATGTAAATTTATAACACAGTTCCCATATACATGTAAACATACCATGTAGCTACTTTGTACATGAACCTGGACAATACTTATCCCCGCCAGGGGCACTTACGTAACTCAGCGGGGTGTGAAAATCCAGGTGAAGGAGATCTATAAGCCAAACCGAATGCAAATAACAAATACTAATTGTCCAGTTGTGTTTTCATAATGGTCATACGGCATCACACATCAGCCAGGCCAGGTAAAACTCTGGTCACTCATCAGAATGTTATTTACCTGTTCTGTTACCTAGGAGCCAAACCCATTCTTGACAGTTTAACGGTCACTGTAATACTGTGTAACACGCATTGTTAACTTGTCAATAATCTTAATTATTGTGATAAAAAATAATATATACAGTGTACATGTACATTATTGCATACGAGCCTTCCGTATTTATTTCATTTATATTGATCAACAAATTGTACCTAATCGCACAGTTGTGCCGAGAGAAGCAACCTGTTGATATGGTCACCTGTCATTTTGTAACGGTCATGGCCCTTTGATATGGTCACCTGTCGTTTTGTAACGGTCATGGCCCTTTGATATGGTCACCTGTCATATTGTAACGGTCATGGCCCATTGATATGGTCACCTGTCATATTGTTATGGTCATGGCCCTTTGATATGGTCACCTGTCGTATTG